ATAAATTTTTATAGTTATATTTTTACTGAAAGACAGGGAAGCTGGTTTTAAACTTTATAATATAAGCAGGAACTGTGTAGAATTTGAGCTTGGTAGGTCACAGTGACCAAATATAGCTGAGATTTCCAATAGCCTCAGCCTTCAAACAACACAGGCTGTGGTTGGCTGTAGCTTTGACTTGTGCAGGTATGCAGAGGAAGGTTTTGCACTCCTAGCTGATTGTGTTACTTGTTCTTTAATCATGCAATGAACTATACCTAACACGTCAGGCAAGCCTGAGAAGGACATTAAATAATCTCAGGCATTGGGCAGTGGGAAATAGTTGCTGCTTTTCTGTGTTTTGCAAACAGAGCTGTAGAATAGTACTTCAAAATAATGTCAGGTAGCTCTGCACATGCTGTAAAGATACCCTGTATTCACATTGTTACTGCCTGCACAAGGCAGCCTGGATCTGCTGGCTGAAAGTCTGTCTTCTTTATGTTAGTTTAAATTACACTGTAAGACAAAAAGAGAAATATGGAAAAGCTGGTTGTTACATTCATGCAGTTTGTCACAAGCTTTTAAGGTAACCTATATGAATCCAAATGAATTCTGAATCACAAAATTTGGCTACAATTTTAAATTTCATCAACTCAAATTGTGGCTTCACTCATGGATAAGTGGTAGATTTATTCTCAAAAACAAACAAACAAACAAAAAAGTTCTATCATCTTCAGTTGAGAAAAGGAAACAACAGAAGAAACCATTACATAGCTAGAAATCAAGTTTGGTAAAAGAGCCAAAAAGGAAGTAAAATGGACTGAAGATAATCTCTATTATTATGACCAGTACAGCGTATGCATGAGAACAACCACAAGAAAAGCTACTCAGCTAAAATAGCAACGAGGTCTCCTTAGAGTAAAATCAACCTCTGATATGTATTTGACAGACAGGAAGAACAGATAGCAATCTTGAAATACATCTAGATCCAGGAAATATATTCAAGTCCAACTGCTCTGAAAGAGGCTATTACAAAAGGAGAAAATATTCCGCTACAAGATAAAAAAATGATCACGCTATAATGTCTACCAAAGAACTAAACACAAATTCCTAGAAAGCAGACTAAGTGTCTTCCTCCAGAGGATCCAGAATACTGAATACTGTGGGGACATGGTAATTATATTACAATAAATTCACAGTAAGAACAATTGGGAATCTCTTGTGAGGACAGTACATTTATACAAAGCATGCATATAAAATCTGGATAAGTTAGAGACGAAGATTAATATAAAATACTCAAAGAAAGTATTGGGCAAACTCTGGCCCTAAGATGAAGGGAAGGCAAGATGAAATATGTAACAGGGAACCAGGCAAAGTGATAATAGATCAAGGACTCTCGATCTAGATCCAGATGTTAGACTGGGAGAATTCACCACTGGCAAGATTATTTAATCTCAAGGAAGTAAGAATGAGTATAAGACTGATTTGAACAAAGGATGCTATCAACAAACTTAACTTGGAATATATTTACTTCATGTCTTTTACTATGAGAGACACTGCAAGGAAAAGAACTGAAGGCATTTGTTAGGAAAACACAGGCATGGACAAAGAAACAAAGTCTAAGAAAAGAAGGTACACCATTGCAGCAAATAATGCTAAATTAACCTGTGAGAAAATTAAATCAAGCATCCAAAAACCATCTGCTGATACTGGGTAAAGTAAAATTCAAGGGCTTATATTCTTTGCACTTTTGCTTCAGGTGTTTGAAGTTTTGTTCATTCACAAAGTCAAATGGAATCCACTTCTGTATTGACATAAATGTTTAAGTTTTAATTCTTTTGGAATTTTTATCTTTGAAATTTAATTTCTACATAAAAAGTTGTTAATGGGAAATGGCTAATAGTTTAATTCAGGGCATCTCTAAATTTTAAAGTCTTATAAATAAAACATGCTTTCTGTACTTCATCTCATTGAAAAATCTTGAAAAAAAAATTGCCATGCAAAAAAGAATAGTTAGGGGCTTGGGAGATGGCTCAGTCTATAAAGTACTTGTTCTGGAGATTTGAGATCAGGTCTCTGTTGAAAGCTGGACTCTGTGGTGTGCCTATAATCCCAGTACTGGAGAGGTGGAGAAAGGTGGATCCTGGGGACTTGTTAGCCAGCAAGTCCAGCTGAATTGGTGAGTTCCAAGTTAAGTGAAGGACCCTATCTAAAAAAATAAAGTAGAAAGAAATTGAGGAAGCTATCTAATGCTGACCTCTGGCCTCCATAGGCACACATGCACATGCATATGCACATGCACACATACAAAAATGTGCCAAAAAGAAATAAAATATAGCCATATAGCTATTTTGGAAGTTGATACTAAATATTATACGAAGTGGGAAATAGAATAGGAAATGAGCATTAAATGTAACTCAAAATGGGCTTAAACTTATTTCACATACTAATCTAACTCATTTCAGAACCACTGGGGTAAGTCTTATACTACCCACCCTGATCTAGAAGGATGCACAACAGTGCAGAATACGATTACTGAAATGACACCCTCATGAAGGTCCTAAGAGACTGCTGGCCTCATTCTTTCTAAAACAGAAGCAAGAGATACGAGAAAAATTATTCTATCTGTTGCTTTTAATTATTGGTACAATTGTACTTTTAATCTGTGCAACAAAAACTAGTTGCTATGAATTTAACATTAGCTCTCATCAGCTGACTTTCCAATCTGATGGATAATGCAAACAAACAAAAAGTCATATATAAAGTCAAGAGTGTTAACTTTATTTATTTATTTATTTATTTAAACTAAAAGTTAATTTTTACATAATATTTGGATATTCCTAAATTAAGGTTTAGAAGACAACCAAAGAAAGGTTTAGGGATGCTAATCATTCATGCACAGAATCATAGTATCAAAGAAAAGTAGATTTTAAAGCCTAATATTAGGTGACTAAAGTGCTACAGACTGGAAGTCCCTCCAACAAGACTGGTCTCTTCAAGTGTTTTAAGTTCAGTGAACTGTTAACGCTACCCGGCATTAGTGGTTGCATAAACTAATTTCAGCTGGCATAAGCTCTCACATAAGTATGCAAAAGCACAGGGTGCGGCTCACATTAGAATGCGACGATGGCACACTTCCGGGACACAAGACACACAGGGCATGAATCTGAATGCCTCTGGCACCCACAAAGTCTCAGTCACTGCTTCTCTATTTTGATCAGTAAATCTCTCTTCTTTCCTTTTTAAGACAGCATTTCACTAAGTAGCCCAGACTAGCTTCAGACTTGTGATCCTCCTGCCTCAGGTTCCTAAGTGCTGGGGAAAAGTAATCTTATAATACCATACATGGAAGGAAAATAAAACTAACTTTCTAAGTATAAATCTTTCATCTTAATCTACTTCCTTGTAGTTAAGTTCCAGCAGCTTACTCAAAACTAATTTTTAAAAAGAGATGAGGTGAAAATAATTTAAAGTTAGGTAAGGGCTTAAGAAAAATGTTTTGGGGGCTGGAGAGACGACTCAGCAGTTAAGAGCACTGGCTGCAATTGCAGAAGTCCCAGGTTTGGTACCCAGGATCCACATGAAAGCTAACAATTGTCTGTAACTCCAGTTCCAGGGGATCCAACATCCTCTTTTGACGTTGGTGGGCATTGAACAACATGAATGCACTTACATATATGCAGGCAATACACTCATACACATAAAATAAAAATAAATAAAAAAATTTTAAAAACAGAAAATGTTCTGGTTTTTTTTCCTTTTATTTTATTTTATTTTATTTTTACTTTATGAGTCTTTTGACTGCATGTATGTAAGTGCACCTGTGCACACAATGCTCAGAGAGGCCTGAAGAGGGCATTGATTCTCTGGAACTGGAGTTATGGGTGGCTGTTATCTGCCATGTGGGTGCTGAGAACCAAACCCGGGTCCTCTGCAAGAGCAGCCAGTGCTCTAAATTTCTGAACTATCTCTCCAGCCCCTGTTCATCTTTTCTTAATGTAGGTGCAGGAAAAACTACAAAATATCATTGATCATGAGAAAATGTGAGTCAATATGGTGGAAAGGAAATGAAAATATAAGAAAGAAATCAATTTTAATAATACTCTTTCCATCACAAAAAAAGATGACAAAGGATTCCTTGTGTTATGGATATTTTATAGCTAAACCTAGATGTTTTTATCTAATCCTAGATAATACATAGGCATCTACATGAATATGAAAATCTTAAGATGAAAAATATTAATAAAAATGACTAAGAAAAACAGATTTGCCTTCTAAATATGTATGCACTGGCATAATCCTTAGGGAATATGTGTTTCTGAACAATAAAATGTCAGATTTATCATTTACCCTTAAGGATGACAAATCAAGAAAAGATCTACTTTTATATAGTACAAATGAAAAAAGTAGAAAAACTGGAAGCATCCATTGTGGCCACACTGCAAATCACTGTGGTTGTCTGGGTCTACCCTTGCAGATAAAATTGTGCTGTTTAACATCTCAGCCCTCTGTAGGCATGGATTTAAAGCTGGATGAAATTACCGTACTATCCCATTGCAACATTTCTATACACATAAATGTACAGTTTATGGTATGTCTGACCAAGACACACAATGAAAGTGTTTTAAAGCACATTATATAACTTCTGATTAACCTATAGAAATTGTCACCTCTCTCCCCTCCCCCACCTCCACTGAGCCATACCCTCAATTTCTCTTTAGAATGTTATATCCCATAGAAATTGGCTGTTAAATTATGAAAATATACCAATGACTTTTGTTTATTTAGTAAATGTTTACTAATTAAAATACCTAGCATTAAAAAGGATTCTTAAAACTCTAGTGCCCCACTGAAATGTATTCACAGAAATACAAAGTGCCCCTTTGTGTAAGAATACCATGTTTATCCATGTTAAAATAAATTCTGGATTTTTTTCTATATTTTCCTATAAAATGATTGAAAAGGAAATAATGTTTCTTTCAAAATGTTATCATGAGGTTTACAAAATTTTTGCCACTCACCTTTTGAGATATCTTCAACTTTTCTACCATAGAAATCATAAAGATATCTGGCTGGTGAATCTAGATTCATTCTCATTGTACAGGCATCTAAAATCTATACAGGATAAAAATAATCTTATTAAGCTCTGGTTAACTAAATATACATTTAAAATGATTTTAGAGAGTTATAAGATATTGCAAAATAAAAATTGATTTATAAAATCCTTCAAATATATTAATTGAAAAAGGGATTAAAATTGTTAGATTTTAAAAAAATATAGACAAGTATTAATAAAAGATAAAAAAGAATGAATAAAGGAAGGAAGGGAAGGAGAAAGGGAGAGAGAGGGAGAGAAAAAAGGGAGGGAGGGAAAAAATGAAAGGGAGAGAGCCATGCAGCAGGTATTAAACTGTTTACTATTTAATACTGAGAATTTTAGAACACAGAGGAATGTTCATATTATTCTTTCTTCTTCCTTCCACATTTTACCATTTATTTTACAGTGAAGAGACAAGATGTCTTTAGCTTTAAGTTCTTTCCAGGATCTTATATAAGCACACCGTCTTTCCTCACTGAACTTGCTCTTCCTTGTTCACCAGTAACTTGTGTCACGAAAGCCTAACTCTCGGTGGATCATGTTTTCCACCTTCTATGCACACTGAGAAGCCTGGAAGAAAGTCACACCTGAATACATCATCACTATACTCATCAGCATCCTCCATGGTCCCTCAGCACTACCAGGTCACTTCTGTTTCATTTCTTTGTTAGTATCTCATTTTCCACAGTGTACATTTCTGTCACCCATCTGTTATTCCACCCAGCTTCCCCTTCCCTTACCACTTCTTTCTCTTCCACAAGGTTAAATGAACTACATAGAGAAAGGACTGAAGCCTCGTCTTCCTTCTGTGAAAACTACAAGCCTACCTCCCGATGCATTCATTCTCTTTCTAGCTCAGTTTTATGACAGGAGGCCCTACTCCTAAGAAATGCAAGCATGATTTAATGATGTTTGCTTTTAGCTTTAAAGCAGTGCTATCCACCATCTCTCTTCTCTCAAGTATTTTTGACTACTACTTCTTTTGTTATTGTGATTAATGGTTATTTCTAGGACTTCTCCAGTAGTTAGCTAATGGTCTCCTGCTTCTACTCTCTGACTTATTCAATTTGTTCTCCACCAAACACTAAAGTCATCTACTCAAAAATCATAAACCTGGTTGTCCTCCATTCCTCTGACTTTTCACTACTTTCAGATGAAATGAGAAAAAGTCTAGAATGATTCCTACAAAGTCACACACCCCAAACATATACCATTGTGGTTTGAACATGAGATATCCTCCCATAGATGCCATGGACTGTTTGCCAGGTGATGGGGTCTTAACAAGTGATGGATTTCTGAGGTTCCAATCTAACCAATTGATCTACTCCTTGATGGACTCATGATTGGTAGGTGGTAAAGTCACAAGTGGAGTCTGGTTGATAGAAGCATCACTGGGGCACATCATGGAGGCAGTATCTTGCCCTAGTCCCTTTCTGTATTCACTTTTTTTTTATCTTCCTATTTACATGAGGACACAGAGATCTTTCATATATATACTGACAAGTCACAAATGGATTTGCCCATCCTTTGGCTTTCATCTCAGCTTCAATCTGTATAGCACCCATTCAGTACTTCCTCTGACACATGCTCCCAGTACCATGTTGTTCTGTCTGACTGTGGGACTCTGGACTGAAATCTCTTAAACCACGAACTTAAAACAAACCTTTCTCATGTTAGGTTATGTTGGGTTACAATGACAGTCTGTCACATATACTAACTTTCTACTCCTGAAACTCATCTTTTCCATTCTTCATGGAGCCTTTCTGTATGCTGTGTTCTCTGAAGGATGGTTTCCCACCATCCTGCCTATCTTCTCTCAGAAGCTTTCCCTCTATCTGCACTCCACATTTAGTAATTATTTTACAGATGTTTTTGTCAATCTCTAAACTAAAAGCTCCATGAAAACACTAATGTAGTAATTTTGCTCATCACTATATCCTGGTACTTGGTAGACATTAGTAGTCATAAGAATATTTTGGGTTAAGGAAAGAATGCAATTTAATATACATTATTTCTAACTTAGCTCATTTAATCATTAATGTTATATTTTATAAAGGTTCATAAAATTTGCTTATAAAATTTCTGACCAATTTTATAAAATCATTTTAATCATTAATGTTATATTTTATAAAGGTTCATAAAAGTTGCTTATAAAATTTCTGACCAATTTTATAAAACATTTTAATCATTAATGTTATATTTTATAAAGGTTCATAAATGTTGCTTATAAAATTTCTGACCAATTTTATAAAATCATGCTATAACTAAAGAATGGATTCCAGAATTTTTTTTCAAATAAAAATAATACATTTTAGTACCAGTATGGTACTGGTATACTATCCTTAGGAAATAAAGTGAGATGATCTGTTCACACCTGTAGCAATGCTGTTGGTTGCCTACCCAATATCCAATCTCTATCACATCTTTGTTATATATACACTATTGGTTTGTTTGGGGATTTACCCTTTCCCTTCTGACTCAAGGAAGGCTACAGTTACCTTGTCTGGTCAGTTACTTATTGTAGCCCCATGTCCATTGACAAAGAATGGGTTAGGAATGGATTTGTAACCCAGTTTAAGCCAATGAGAAATGAGAAGGAACTTCCGGGAAAGGCTTATTTATCCGTTTGGAGAAAGTATTCCTTTTCTGTGTCTGGACTGTTGCACCTTGCTGAACAGCCGTCATCTACCAATACTGGAAAATGCTCAAAATCCAGAGAACCAGGCTGAAATCCTGTCATGCCATGCTTAGAGTTAGCTCTGGATTTCTTATTCCTTATGTCTATTTGAGCAAAGAGTCTCTACTATTTGAAGCTAAAGTCGTGTACTGTTAAAAAGAAATTCAAGGAGCAAGATACATGAAAACTGACTTAACTAACTTAGGGCAATATTTGTCCAGCAAATAGATTACAACAGTAATACTATGTGAATCTATGAAGCACACCATTTAATTGGGAATCCAGAGAAGAACATAGAATAAATTTAGCAAGCAGAAAACTGTGAAGATGAATGGATAATTAAGAAGTAAATTCCTTGAATTGCTAAAAATATTTCACCTTTGGCAATTAATTGTAGATACTCAGTAGAAAAGAACTTTATTAAGAATCTTTTGACAAAGCATCCATTTCTACAGAATTTTTCTGCTAACTTAAAGTGGCCAAATAGGTTATAAATTTTCAAAAACTAAATATATACAATAATATAAATCTCTGCTGAGGCTAATATTTTACAAGTTAGATTCAGAAGTATGATCATTATTTTAACCTGAAGAAACAGAAGATTAGATTGAATTTGTACTCAATATGAAGTAACTTGAAGGTTCTTTTCTGAACAAATCCTGGAAATAACATTTGCTGAGCTATTCTTTGTCTTATTCTCATAAAGTTTGATGATAAAGAATAGGCTATTTGCTCTTACTAGTATTGACTATGAATAACTACACTAAGATCAACTATTTCTTGTCAAACTGTGTTTTGTGATACTATTGTACTTTATATGAAAATATGAATGAGAAATAGATAATGGAAAGATTTTCTAATCAATCAATACATACTCCTTGTTTTTTAATTGATAGTTTAAGTATAATTAAACATCCCAGATTATAAATATAATCATTCTTATTTTTATTATTTTTAGAATATGTTATATTGATCTTGATTCCCATGAAATAAACTATATTATTTTAAGTTTTATTTTAATAGCTATATTATTTTAAGTCTGAGCAAGCAGAAAAATGTAAGCACTGGTATTAGTAGCACCATAGTCAAGACTGAGAGTATTTCCATCACCATTTCTTATGCTCCTGCCCAATGGCAACTCACTGCATGACCACAGGCCACCTATGATTTCTGTCATTAGACAATAATTTTACCTTTTCTACAAATTTCTTAGTGCATAATATTTTATAACAGGCAGCTTCAATTTCCTTAATTATTTTTCCTTTATATTGCTGAAGAGCATTCCTTCTTGAATACAGCACAATTTATTTATACAGTCATCAATTGATAGCCTTTTGGATTATTTCTAGTTGGGGGTTATTATAAGTAAAATTACTGTGAACATTGATTAGAAGTCACTGATAACACACACTGTTTTTCCTGGCATCTGACTTGACATGGGATTATTAGAGTGTAAGGTGAATTTGTTTAATTTCATGCAAACTGTCAACTGTACTGCAAAGTCGCTGCATCATTTTATGTTCTCATCTGCTAAAGCTGAGATTTGCCATTGCTCCACATTTTTACCAACACTTGGTATGTTCTGTGTTTTGTTTTTTTTTTTTTTTTAATGTAGGCCACTCTAATATGTGTGAAGAGGTAAGTCATTATGGATTCAATTTACACATCCTCGATGATATAGAAAATCTGATTTTTTTTAAAAAGTGTTTTTGAAACAGAGTCTCTCTATAGCTCCAGCTGGCCTGGAACTCACGATGTGGACAGATCTCATAGAGATGCCTCCCAAATGCTGGGATTAAAGGCATGTGTCACACCTGGATTTACTGGGTATTTTTGACTAATTTCTGTGACTTTAGCAAAATGTCTTGTTCAAATCTTTTGACCTTTCAATTTGTTTCTGCTATTAAGTTTTCAGTGATCTAAATACAACCTCAGGGAATGTGGCTTAATTTTTTTATTTTTTGATGCCATTTCCTGAGAAGTTTTCAATTTGGATAGAGTCCACCTAATCACTTTTTGGCTGATGTATTTTCTATATTAAAAGCCTCTGTCTATCCAAGTAAATAGACAAAGCTCCCCATGTTTTCTATAAGAACTATTATACTTTTAATTTTTTATGATAAGATTTATGATTGATTTTAAGTTGCTTCTGTGGTAGTATAATTTCTCATGTGTGTGTGTGTATGTGTGTGTGTGTGTGTGTGTGTGTGTGTGTATGTTCATAAAACATGGGAAAGATTCTGTCTCAGTTGAGATAAATGTACTTGCATTAAATTTCCACTGGTATTTATTTGTCAGACTATCTTTTCTCCCATTGAGCTGAAATAATAAAGATTATTT